GAAATTGACGAATCCTATTGGTCAATTATAAAAAAAAAAAATTTTTGAATCTCGTTTCACTGACCCGGCCGGGATATAAAAATCAATTATATTAATTTGTATCGCCTAACTGGTAATTGTCAGATTTTCTTTAAAGCACTATTAAATGTGCCTCAAATTCAGGAAGAGATATTTGTTATTATTGGACGGGATCCAGGCTGTTATAATTGTTTTATGTAGGAAAATGTAATTATGAAAAATGTAATTATGCTGAATATACATAATAAAGCAACATAATTTTTATTATATTGGGTTAAATTCTCATTTTTACGTGTAGTAGAAATAAAGTATAAAATAACCTCTTTTCCTAGCACATTTATACAAGAGAATTGCATATTATAAAAAAAATCAATTATTAGTATCTAAAAAACTCTAATTTGATCTGCCAATAAAGCTCAAATATAAAAATACTACGCACCACTCTATCTGTATCATGTCTAGTTTAACTTTGTTCAACTCTTCGAGAAGCATGCCAGTTTTAGTCTTAACTGCTGTTTTTTTATTCGTTTGTCCACTAATATTCATAGGAATCGTTACCATGTGGATGATTCTCAAACAAAAAATTTCTGATGAACTCCCCACATGTGTCACCAAAATTAAGCATAAAATCGCAAATAATCTCTTTGCACATGGTACTAAGATCGCTAGTGAACTCGACACAAAAAATAATACAACTATTACTGTAGAAATCGAAAGAATCCTTACTGATGTCTATAAAAAACTTACTGCAGAAATTAATACTAAAATTACCAACGAGCTTTCCACATGCCTTTCTGAAATTAATACTGAACTTAATGATAACTTACTGCCGAAATCAAAAAAATCAATTCACATGATGCTGGCTATGCCTCTGAGGTACAAAAACTTTTCAATGACATGGCCACAAGAATTAATAATATTGAGGAAGCATGCTATAATAATTTTGCCTTAGTTAATGCTTCTATTGAAGCTCTCCAAAATGGATTAATTCAACATTACGTAATTACCAGAAGAAATCAGCCAATCGATGCCAACCAACAAAGTGTATCTAATCATTCTGAAGCATCAAATCGATTTCATATAAGCTCATCCAGAAGTTCATCTGGCTCAGGCCAATTAACATTCACGGATATTAGCCTTACTGTCTGGAACCAATTTAAGCAAATTTTTGATCGAATTAAAACTAAAAAAAATTTTACCTTAGAAGAGATGTGTTTAATGGTAGCAATGGAAATTCGTGAACTTGGAGAGAATATTAAAAAGACAACTGTACAAGGGTTTTATGAAAGAAATATAAAGAAAAAAGATGGTTATATTAGCACACTAGACCAGATTGGTTTGTGGATAGATAGTAAAAATAATGATAGCTTAGCTGATAATATGGAGTAGTGGAAAGGAACTCTCATTTTATGGGTTAGGGCTCGAGTGATTCCTCCCTTTAAACTCGCTATTTCAATAATTATTTTCTACTTAACCGGTCTATAAAATTAATAAAGTTATATTTGTGATTTGATTTTTAAATGCATTCGTTTAAGAATTTTATTTACCTTGTCTCAATCTGCATGATCGAATTATGTTTGATGTACGTACTGGAAAATTCTTAAGAGGCTTATCATTATTGTCATGCATAATTTGTTTACAGGTTTGTATCACAGCTATAAAAAAATCAGCCACGTATATTATTTTTTTTTTCTGTTAATATATAGTAATGAAAAATCAGAAAAAAAACAAACAAAATTACTTCGAAAAGTGGCATATATTTAGAGGTTGGAAGTACGGGTGTAAGGTTTGCGATGAATGCAACCATCATTCACATCTATATTGTAAAACATGCAAAAAAGTAGCAGTTGACATATATAGGCAATGTGAATGTGATAATTTTTTAAAGAAAGAAGCGATAAGTGAAAGCTTCACTTCATAATAGTTTCAAGTTCCTAACTCATCTAATAAACGTGACGATCAATGCTGTAATGATAGTTAAGCAGAATTTATGTAACCTTACTGTAACAGTAACATCAAAGTCACACCTCTTAAAAAAGACACCTCTTCAGGAATAAATTTTGTTTGGATAACAATCAACAAATTCGAATAAAAATTCCGCATTGCAAGGGACCGTAACCCTGCTTTCGAAAAAATACAATATCGGTATTGTCATTTTATGTATAACAATACGTGACCTGTTGTACGACAATCTGATTGTTTGTATAAACTATAAAAAAGGTAGAATGTACGACTAAAAAAAAAACATTTTTGTTCAAGATAACCATGTTTGATAATATTTCCCTTCCACCAGTCGAAGAAGTTAATAATAAATGGAGTTCGGATAAGGTTATTGATTTTTTGGATTCTCATAAAGACAAGCTATTTCTTAAAGAAGAAGACATTGAACTGATTAAGGAAAACCAGGTCGACAGCTCAACCTTTCTTTCTTTAACGTTAGAAACGCTTACTAAAAAGGATGGACATTTCGTGTTGCTGTATAGGCCAGCGAAAAAAATCGCGAATCTAGTTACCAAAATTAAAGGCGAGGATCAGGGTAAGTCCATGACTGCATTCGAATATTCCAAACCTATACTGCTTTCTCCGCAATAATTTCATTTATTAACTTGTGCTTCATATTTATTATACAGGTACGACTGCATCGAATCAAGAGTTGAAAGAAAAGCTAGCATTACTACAAGCTTCTAAGGTTAAAGAGGAAGGTAAAAGTCATGAATATTTATTAATATTTTTTTTCATTTCACCATGAACGTTTGGTATATTGTTTGTATTGACTAACGAATTTTTTTAGCTTCTATATACTTCCGACACTTTGATTCAGAAACCATACGTCTTAGTTCCGAAGGTTGGGAGGATTTTACTCAATTATATACTCGTTTAAAAGAAGCCTTCGATCTCAGGGGCTCATTGACTACTTATAAGTTTTCAATTAGCGATAAGCTTATAGATTTTAGCTGGTCGAAAAGCGTCTTTATTGATTACATTGAAAAACAAAAATGTTCAGCCGATAATCCGATTATAATTTCAGGAAAGAAGAAAGGTACAATAAAAATTTAGTTTATCTGTAAATCATAAATAAACTGAACTAATGCAATCTCTTTTTACAGTTAAAAAATCATACTTTGATATGATAAATTCCTTACCAGCACCATCAATACTTGGGGAACCTGAGGAATGGTACAAACGACAGAAAACTAATGCTGTTGATGCTATTTGTCTTAATCACTGCCCCTAAACAGCTTCTAGTTCCATACCTGTTAGCTTGCTTTGTTCGGTTTTTAGAAAATTTAAGGATTTATATGATGAGCTTTCAGAAAGCGAAGATAATCTTTTCGCTTATGATTTTTGTATTGAAATGGCAAAACATTATAATTACGAATCGGTGCGTCAAACTACGGCAAATAAAATGCTATCTGAATATCTCAAACGCTCTATATAACCAATTGTGATTGAAGATAATTGTCGTACTGATGGTACTGTATATTATGGTGATGGCCCTAACGCATATCGTGAGGTTAATGTGGAATACAAGAAGCATAACTGTAGCTCCGAAGCCTGTCCCTACCTTGAAAATTGTGGATATTATTTAACTTTTTGTGCGGAAAAAGAAGAACATTCCTCCTACCATGTGCCTAATTTTCCATGCTTTTTGATTGTAATTTCTGGTATAGTAATAAATTTAGTTGATATGTCTTTGTCAGAATTTGCGACTAACTTTACTTTTTTAGGACCTTACTTTTTTGTTTCCGGTGCTGTGTTTGCAGATGTTGCTATAGTTGACCCACTAACTCCAGTCTTTCCTCTTATGTGGCAAAAATATGACAAAGCGATGATGGTATCAATTGCCAAAACATTTCGTGCTTTGAAGATATCTCTCCGACTTCTCGATCAATATTATGCTAATGTTGATGAATTGATTCAAGACGAACCTCAAACTGTCCATCCCATGCATCCTTCATTTCCGGAAGTGATTATAGACAATAAATCTTACATGGTTCAAATTGATTCCCAAGTTAGCACAAATCTTCTTTGGGAAGTTACACTTTTAAATGAACAGGGGCCTCATCTTACAGCCTACGTGAAAGCTGTTAAAAAAGATCGATATTCACTTGATACACATAAGCTCTTAGCTGAAGTTGGATACGCTCCAGAAGTCTATACTACTTCAATAATTCCCGGAAATTGGATTTTAGTTTATATGGAATACCTGAATAATCATTCAATATTAAATAACATTATCTCTAACCTTGACGATCAAAAACGAAATTCACTGAGAAAAAAAATAAAAGGGATAGTCGAATATTTGCATAATTTAGGATACATTCATAGAGACTTGCGTGAAGGGAATATTCTGGTTTATCAACTTGAAGGTAATGAATTTGATGTGAAGTTGATCGATTTTGAATGGTCTGGAAAGGTTGGTTCTGCATGTTATTCTCCTTTTATGAATCGTAAAACTATTCAATGGCCTGATGGTGCGGAAGATTGGAAATTGGTTACAAAAAACCACGATCTTTTTATGTTAGAGCAGACTCTTCAGAAAAAAAATTTGTTATAAAATGGGACGGATATCGGGTAGTATGTATTTTAGTTTAATAAGAGGAATGGATCAAAAAAGTTTAGTGTAAAAGAATATTACAGTCCAATATTTGTTATTCTTAGCATGTGATATTAAAATTTTCATATAATAGACTTGACATTTGATTTCTCAATTAATAAAGCCCTGGTGACCGATTTGCATACATAATCATTTATTGTATTGTTATTAACTTGCATATGATCGAGAATTTTTCTTGGCGGTTCGAAATGGAATGCGCACGAGATTTTTTTATTTTGAATAAATCTATGCCTTATATAAAAATTTTAATCAATCATGTCATCAGAGCTTGAATTATTGA